CCCCAAGTGAAAACCACCCAGCTGAGCCCAGTTACCCACAGAACTGTCAGAGACAATAACACTTTATTGTTTTAAGCTACTATTGCAGTGGTTTGTTACATGACAATACTCTCTATGGTCAATCCTCAACACAAGAACCAGAATAATCTTTTAAACACATAAATCAAGTCATGTCATTCTCCCAGTCAAAACCCTTCAATGGACTACTTTTCCACCTTCTCTATAAATGCACATCTGTGTGTGTGTGTGTATGTATTATATCTCAGTAAAGCTATGTATGTGTGTGTGTGTGCATGTGTGTGTACAGTCAAATGTCACTTAGTGATAAGGGTATGTTCTGAGAAATGTTTCATTAGACAATTTTGTCTTAAATAGGGCACAAGGAGCCAAAAGAGCCCTGCCAATGACGGGGCATGATCCTGAGCCTTTTAGCCCATGGACAACACTCAGTCAATGTGCAGGCAGTTGGGGAGTCGTGGAAAGAGCACGTGAGTTGGGTCAAGTTCCAGCTCTCCACTTCCTAGTGGGTAGCTTCTAGGCTACATCCTAGAGCACACTTACATAAGCCTAGATGGTACGGCCTTCTACACACCAAGGCTATATGGGACTGCCAATTGCTCCTAGGCTACAAATCTTTAGAGCATGCTGCTGTACTAAACACTGCAGGCAATTGTAACACAATGGTAAGTATTTATGTATCTAAACACATCTAAATGTAGAAAAGGTACAGTAAAAATATGGTATTATAATCTTATGAGACCACTGTCATATATGCAATCCATTGTTGACCAAAATGTCATTATATGGTGTGATATAGTTTGGATATTTGTCCTGCCCAAATCTCATATTGAACTGTAATCCCCAGTGTTGGAGGTGGGGCCTGGTGCAAGGCAATTGGATCATGGGGATGGGTTTATCCTGAATGGTTTAGTACCATCCTCTTGGTGCTATTCTCATGACAATGAGTGAGTTATCTGAGAGAACTGGTCATTTAAAAGTGTGCAGCTGCTTCCTCCTCGCCCAACTCTCTCTCTCTAGCTCCTGCTCTGGCCATGTGATATGCTTGCTCCCCCTTTGCCTTCCACCATGGTTGTAAGCTTCCTGAGGCCTCCCTAGAGCCTGAGCAGATGCCAGCATCATGCTTCCTGGAAAGCCTGCAGAACTGTGAGCCAATTAAACCTCTTTGTAAATTACCCAGTCTCAGGTATTTCTTTACCGCAATGCAAGAACGGCTTAATACATGGCACATCACTCTGTCTGTGCGTATATGTGTGTGTATGTATACATATGTGTGTATATATATGTGTGTGTGTGTATGTATCTACATATGAAAGAGAGGTGGCATGAGTGATGCCAGTGACTCTCCCTGACACTGGCAGAGCTCATTTATATACATGTACACACCCATGCCACTTTTCAGAGATCTAATACACATACTATACAATATAAAATTCATGTCTTTTAAAGTGTACAGTTCAACTAATACATAGAATGGTACCTGACTTAGGATTTTTAACTTTATAATTGTGGGAAACCATCACAGTTTTGAAGTAATGTACAGGATATAATACATTCCATGAGATCTTCAACACTTTTATTATAAAATAGGTCTTATATTAGATGATTTTGCCCAACTGTTGGCTAATGTAAGTGTTCGGAGCACATTTAAGGTAGGCTAGGCTAAGCTATGATGTTCAGTAGGTTAGCTGTATTAAATGCATTTTCAATTTATTATCTTTTCAACTTATGATGGGTTTAGCAGGACACAGCCCCACTGTAAGTCGAGGAGCCTCAGTATTCAAAGCTGTGCAGTCATCACCATGATCAATTTTAGAATATTTTCATCACTCCATGAAGAAACTCCGGCTTCATCAGCAGTCATTCTCCATTTCCTCACAACCACCCCAGCCCCTGGCACCTACTAATTTACTTTCTGTCTCTATAGATTTGCCTATTCTAGATATTTCACATGAACACAATCATTTTGCATCTGGCTTCTTTCACAGAGCATGTTCAAGTTCATCTGTGTTGTAGTATGTATCAGTACTTCATTCCTTTTTAGAGCCAAACAGTATACCATGGTGTGAACACACCACACTTGGTTTATCCATTCATCAGTTGATACATATTGGGTTGTTTCCATTTTGTTTTGGCTATTATGAATAATGCTGCTATAAACATATCATCTCAGTTCTCTTGGTTGTATACCTAAGAGAAGAACTGCTGTGTCGTATGGTAACTCTATGTTTAACCTTTTTTTTTTTTTTTTTTTTTGAGACAGAGTCTCACTCTGATACCAGGCTGGAGTGGCGCAATCTCAGCTCACTGCAACCTCCAACTCCCTGGTTCAAGTGATTTTCCTGCCTCAGCCTCCCAAGTAGCTGGGATTACAAACACATGCCACCACGCCCAGCTAATTTTTGTACCTTTTTAGTAGAAATGGGGTTTCACCATGTTGGCCAGTATGGTCTTGATCTCCTGACCTCGTGATCTACCTGCCTCAGCTAACCTCTTGAGGAATCTCCAGAATGTTTTCCAAAGTGGCTGCACCATTTTACACTCCCACCAGCATAGTATGAGAGTTCTGGTTTCTCCACATTTTTGATAACACTTGTTATTATCTGTATTTTTTATTGTAGCCACACTGTAGTGGGTGTGAAGCAGTATCTCACTGTGGTTTTGATTTGCATCTACCTGATGGTGAATGCAGTTGAGCATCTTTTTCATGTGCTCATTGGCTATTTGTCATCTTTGGAGACACATCTGTTCAAAACCTTTGCCCATTATTTAATTTGATTATTTGTTAATGTTTTTTGAATTATAAGACCTCTTTCTATTTCTAGCAATAAGTTCCTCATCAAATATATGATTTGCAGATATTTTCTCACCCTCCAAAGGACTCTTAGCACATGCAGAATAAAACCCAGATCTTTTACCAGGGCTGAGAGACTTGCCAGATCCTGTCCTCATCCCTCACCACTCTCTACACATCACTCCCAGCTCTCTGGCCACCACTGCTCTGCATGCGGGTCCTTAAACCTGTCAGACTTGACCCAGCCTCAGGGCTTCTGTAAGCGCTCACTCCCTTTGCTTAGACATTCTTCCCAGAAAATTTTTGAGTGGCTCACTCCCTCTCTTTTTAAGACTCTGCCCAGATAGCCACCTTCTTGGAGAGGCCTTCCCTAACCATTTTATCGACAACATTTCTCCCAAAATATCCACGATATTTCTTTTCTCCCTATTATTCTCTACTCCTTATCCTTTTCTTAGTAGCACTTAGTATGTATAAGCAGATATGATATCGTACACTTATTTGCTGATTCTGTCTCCCAGCTAGAAGCTCAGTTCCATGAGGGGCAGGAATGTCGTCTGTCTCATGCACTACTACATCTTAAATGTCTAAACAGTGCCAGGCACATTGTAGAAACTCAATAAATATCTATTACATTAAATATACCTACTACTATTTATTGAGTGCTTACTATGAGCCAAACATGCCATGAAATACTTCAAATAAAATACCTTATTTCATCCCCACAACAACCCTTATGCTAGGAGGTAGACACTAATATTACTCCACTTTTCTAACAGATGAGAAATCTATATTTAGAGAGTTTAAATAATTTATCCATGGCCCCACAAATAGGAAGTGGCAGTCAGGATTAAACTCATGCAGTCTCAGCTCTGAACTATATGGTTCTACCACACCTGTCCCCATTACCAACTCCAGCAAGTCACTTTCCCTCTTTTCAGCCTCAGTTTCCTCATCTATGATGTAAGAGTAGCCTCCGACCTTACCTTATAGCGTTATTCAGAGATTGGCCAGGTGGGATCACGTAAAGCAGTGGTCCCCAACCTTTTTGGCACCAGGGATCAGTTTTATGGAAGACAACTTTTTCACATATGGCAGGGTACAGGAGGGTATTCCTGGGATGATTTAAGCACATTACATTTATTGTGTACTTTATTTTTCTATTATTACATTATAATATATAATGAACTAATTATACAACTCATCATAATGTAGAATTAGTGGGAGCCCTGAGCTCCTGCAACTAGATGGTCCCATCTGGGGGTGACGAGAGACAGTGACAGATCATCAGGCATTAGATTCTCATAAGGAGCACACAACCTAGACCCCTTGCGTGCACAGTTCACAGTAGGGTTTGTGCTCCTATGAGAATCTAATGCTGCTGCTGCTGCTGCTCTGACACGAGGAGGAGCTCAGGTGGTAATGCGAGCAATGAGGAGCAGCTATAAACACAGATGAAGTTTCACTTGCTCACCCACTGCTCGCCTCTTGCCGTGCAGCCTGGTTGCTAACAGACCACCACGGACACCAGTCCATGATCCCGGGGTTGGGGATCCCTGACGCAAAGCCCTGAGAACAGTGCCTGCCTCACTGTGAGTGTTAAGTGTGAGCTGCTGTGACGATCTGGTGACAACAACTCTGATCACAATCATCAGATGACTTTGGTGCAGTGAAATCAATCTCCTTGAAATCAAATAAAGCTCTATCATTGTGAGTTAATATTGTTCAGATGCATCCTGTGTACAGACTGATTTTAGACAACGTCTCAGCTCTCGCAGAGGGAGGACCAGCCCACCATGGCCACATGAGGGTTTCAGTCTCATCAGATGGGTGTGACAGATTTCCTGATCAAAGGAAGATGTTTTGGTAACATCACAGACTAAGGCCTCAACAAGAGTGTACTAGATACCTCCAAGAAAATGGGATCTCAGTGGCCAGTTAGAGACAGATCCTGGCCTAATCTAGGACAGCCATTCTCATGGGGCCATGTCATACTTGTAAACTTCTGCTGGGCCAGCCACACAGCCACGGGTAGCTGAACATGGCAGAAGCCCACCCTACTCACAGCTCCCCCAGGAAATTACTGGATGTTACATTTGCTAAAAAGAGGTTGCCACCCAGACAGTTCATGTCCATGTGCTACCAATACTGTGGAAAACCTGGAGAATAGGAATCCAAGTCAACTCACCAGTATGGGTCTGCCTGTGCGTCTCCAGGGCATCCTCCTTCGAAAACTGTGCACCGCACTGATCACAGACAAAGGCTTTGGCACCCGCTGAAAGAAAGGAGAGGCAGTTACCACTAGAACAATAGTCCACTGGTGAGGGGGGAGGTCTTGGGCCACAACTGTGCAGGTGGACACTAGGGGAGGGGACTGGACACCTGCGAAAATCCTGAGTGAGGGATCATCCATGGTTCAGACCTTCCTCTAAGAGGTGAACATTCACCCAACTGAGTTCCAAATGCCTTTGTCTAGGGCTCTTCCAGAGAGAAGGAGAAACAAAATCAGAATAACCAAGATAAACAGAAATGGGCTCCAAGTTAGACACCTCAAGAAGAAGGAGGATCTGAAGACCTACCTCCACGTGATGGGAGGACAGGAGAAAAATGATACCAACACAGGGAAATGTGTCCTGTTGCCTCAACTGTACTTTATGGGAAGGTAAGAATTGCTGACATACCTCTACCTGGATGTACACAGGGACCTCTGACTCAGTGTGTCCAAAACTAAACCCACCGTCTACCCCCAACTGCTGCCTGCATCTGACCATTTAAAACCCCTGAATGACTCCCCAGTGCCTGAAGAACAAGGTTCAAACTCCTTACTGTGACTCACAAAGCACTTCTCGGTATGCTCCTCTTTCCTGCTTCGTCTCTCACACCTCACTCTTACTCTCTTTTCTCCAGCTACACTGAACCATGTGGGCTCCCTGGAGGAACCATATTCTTCCTTATTGCTAGGCCTGAGCACATTCTTCTGCATGTCCTCTGCCTCTGACATTCTCCCACGCTTCCCTGGCTGCTATGGTGCAGTTGGAGGTCCTATTCATCATTCATGCATCGACTTCAATACCCGGGCCCTCATGTGTAGGTGAGGCAAGGCTCCTTTATGCTCCGATAGCACCTGATATGTTCCAGTTCTTGGCCCTTGCTGTGCTCCATTCCAAATGCCCGTGGCCCTGTCTTTCTCTCTCACCACATGGTAAGTTCCCTGGCGGAGGGACCGTGTCATCTTGTGCACAGCTGCATCTGCCTGACACACAGTGGAAACCTATTACTATACATATTTGTGGAATAAATAAGATTAATTCAGTGCAACTCAATTTAATAAACTTTCTCAGAACTGTCATTTGGAAGGTTTAAAGTGATAATGCCACCATGTCAAGATGAAACAGTACTTTTTATCATTGGCTAATAGTCTTCATGGCTCTACTATATTATCTGATCCAGGGGTCACCTGTCACAAGCCTTGGCATTTTTCCTTCAAGATGTCTCAGAGATGTACTCTTCCACGGCATTTGGTGCAGTGATTCCACTGCAATCACCACCCCATTCAGGCCCCTGCAGCATCACCCTCAGAACACTGTAAGACGCGAGGTGGTTTCCACACCACCAGCCACCCGCAATCTACTCAACACATGCAGGTTCCTCTACGGCCACTTGATTCCTCATACTTTCTTACTCAAGAAGATACAAGGCCCCCCAATGTGTACTGACTCTAAATTCCTCTACTTGGCTTCAAGGCCTTCCATAACCTGTCCCGGTTAGCCACCCACCTCCATAGGTAAGCTGTCCTCACCAGCCCTCTCTGGGCACTGCTTGACCTTCCCAGAGTCGCTGTGCTTGAGCAATGCTCAGTCCTGTTCCTCCATCTGTTCCAATCCCACTCCATTTTCAAGGCCAGAGTTTGTGGACATCAAGCTCCCCAGTCCCTTACTCTTCTGCCCTTTCCAATCTGCCACTGCACTCTGTTCCTTTCAACACGTCTTAGCATTTTGTTGTTGTCATTGTTGTTTTTGAGATAGGGTCTCTGTCTGTCACCCAGGCTGGAGTGCAGTGGTACAATCATAGCTTACAGCAGCCTCAACCTCCTGGGTTCAAGCAATCCTCCCACCTCAGCCTCCTGAGTAGCTGGGACTACAGGTGCACGCCACCCTGCCTGACTAATTCCGTTTGTTTGTTTGTTTGTTGTTTTTTATTTAGAGATGAGGTCTCACTGTGTTTCCCAGGTTGGTCTTGAGCTCCTGGGCTCAAGTGATCCTCCTACCTTTGTCTCCCAATGTGCTGGGGGGTTCCAGGTGTGAGCCAGTGTGTCTGGTCATCTTTGCTCTTCTTTAAATATGCCTGTGTTTTAGTTTTGTATTAGAGCCTCGTACGAGCCAGAACTACTTTTTACACAAATTTGTAGCCGACAGTGCTGTTTTCAAATCACCTCAGATTTCCTGAGTCTTGACTATATACCAGGCATGATGCTAGATGCTTAATATGTATCATTCGTCCTAACTACCACCATTTATATAGTACGTGCTATCATTATCCCCATGTAGCAGATGAGTACATTCAAGCCCAGAGAGGTTAAGCACTTTGCCCAACGCCACACAGTGGTTAACATAGTAAAGGTGAATTCAAACACAGGCAGCCTCATTTCAGAGTAATCCCTGTACCCTTCGGCCTCCCTAGGGTTCCATCTGCAAAGATACTTTGTGGATAAGACTCCATGGGTGGGGTCTGAGCTCCCATCTCTGAATGAAAATTCAATTTACCTATTTTACACATCAGGGCTTTGGGGCTGGAAAAATGGCTCCACTACTTTTCTAGAAATTTGGAAACCTCTGCCTTGGAGAATCAGCACATACTGAAGGAATGCAACTCCAAATACAAGCTGTTCCAGCACAGACTTCAATACCAATAAATGCTTCTTGCAGTGAAGAATATGAGGACCCCAGAGGAAGTCAAGAAGATGGGGTCTTCTGGAGGTATCGACTTTGTCTGTCTCGCTGACACCTATCTTCCTACTGATGAGCAGGATACACTCTAGTAGGTGCTGAATAAACGTGAGTCGACTGGCCGGATAAGTGGGTGACAAAGTACCCCAGGGAGGATATGAACTCACTTCTCCTGAAAAGCTTTAAAAATAAATATTGTCATTTGCCTTAGGTGGTTGGGGTTGAATTTCACCTGGCGGCACGGAGAATCCCATGGTGACCTCTGGGTGTCCCTTCAAGCCACAGGGCACCCTCAGGCCAAGCACCTGATATACGGCTTAGAGAGCTTTGAGGAAAGAGCCAAGAAAACTTCTAGTCCCCAGTGATGGCGAAGCAGTGATGACGTGTGTGAGCAGGGGTAGCAGCCAAGACTACCTTTCATCCATTTACACTGGAAATGCAGACAGCACCTCCAAGAGCAGAGTGGGCCTGGACAGGAAAGCTGGGGCTGGATGAAGTCACAGCTCCCTCACAATTAGAAACTGCCCCCAGTCCCAAATCATTAGCCATCAATGATTTTCTGTGGATCTGTAAGGAATCTGATTTTAATTGTATTTCTTCCTTGGGTTCTATCCGCTCTCACGGCTCCGTAAAGGAGAAAGGGGAAGCAAAGGCCCGAAGAGGGAAGCACTGGCTGGGAAGGGGAGGGCACCCTGTGGGCTCCCACACTGGAGCCCTGCAGTCGGCGAGGAGCCCACCATGCCACAGGCTTCCAAGGGATGTGGTCCGGAGGGTTCTTAGAAAACAGCCATCACTGTGGGCTGGAGGAGCTTCTCGCTTTAATGACTGAGAAGCAGAGAGAAAGGAAGGAGGCCAGGTAGGAAATAAAGGGCCGGATGTGTACCATCAGACAAGTGCAGAGGAAGATGAAGACAGATAAGCACACATGATCTAGTAAAAGCGGCTGCCTCGGCCCAAGCCTGACCACATCTGCTTGCCTTCAAAGTCCCGCCACTCCACCCCCACCTCGCTGAAGTCACGACACTGAGTTGAGCGTGTGAAAGCCCCTGTCCTCACTGACTCTGGGCCAGGTCCCTCCTTACACGTGGATAACACAAATGTCAGCTCCCACTGCTAGCCCCCACTCACAAAGCCCCAGTACTCCCACGCCCACCCGGACAGGCTCTGACTTCCCCCCAACTCTCCAGGGTGAGAGCCAAGGCAGGCAGTTCCATGGACACGTGAGCGGAGCAGAGCGAGACAGACAAAATCCTCTCTCCCAAGGAGTCTTGTGCCTTTAAATTGTCTCTGTAATGGCTGGCTCAGAGGCAGAAATATTTGGCAGCCCTGAAATTAAAAGTGATAAATTTCCTCGCCAAGCTTTGATCGATAATAGAGGCCTCATCTGTTAATCAATAAGACAGTCTCTGCCTGTTTACTGTGCATATGTTGTTCACTGCTGCCTTCAGTATGATGTCAGGTTTGCATTCAAAGCAACTCAAGTGTGTATAAACCACATGGCTATTCCCAAAATGCATTACGGTGACATCATGCAGCCACTAATACATTTATAAAGCATCAATGGGAGGGGGCAAACGAGGAGGGAAGAAGGTCATGCCAGCTGAACACAGCGGGTGTGCACGGACCTAGCAGCAGCATTTATACCCACAAAATTTCCTGGGGCTCAACCTGGAGTAGGGAGAACTCCAGGGACACAGCTTGGGGATGGCCATGACTTGCCATATCCTTCCTACACACGGGAGCTGGTTTTTGAATGTCCAGTAACTATATGCCAAGAGGTGGATTACAGGAAATAAACAAAAGAGATGAAATTCCTGCCCTCAGGGAGCTTATGTTCAAGAAGGGAGGGCGGATTTTTAAAGAGCAAGTAAATATAAAACAGGCCAGGTGGTGATAAGTGATAAAAAGAGAAATAAATTAAGTGAAGAGGGCCAGGCACAATGGCTCATGCCTGTAATCCCAGCACTTCGGGAGGCCGGGATGGGTAGATCACTTGAGCTCAGGAGTTCAAGACCAGCTTGGCCAACATGGTGCAACCCCATCTCTACTAAAAATACAAAAACTGACCAGGCATGGTGGCTGATTTTAAATCCCAGCTACTCAGGAAGCTGAGGCAGGAGAATAGCTTCAGCCCGAAAGGCAGAGGTTGCAGTGAGCTGAGATCACACCATTGCACTCCAGCCTGGGAAACAGGAGTGAAACCCTATCTCAAAACAACAACAACAACAACAATAACAACAAAGCATTAAATGAAGATAAACAGAGAGTGCCAGGGGCTGTTCTTTTACACCGGGTAGTCAGGGAGGCCCTCGCTGATGCGCTGACATCT